CAAAGGGCAGTTCAGAAGATCTTAGCAAACAATCTGCTGTAACTACAGGTAACATAAAGGTCAACAGGCATATAAGGAACATCAGAAAGCTTATGCCTTTTCTCTTAAGGAAGCACGATCTAAGTATTATTCCAACATCATCAACAGCTGTCCGGGAAATCCTAAACAGCTTTTCTCTACAATAAACCATCTCCTCAATCCCATTCCACAAACTTATGCTGAGGATTCGACTGAAAAATGCAACCTGTTTCTCTCATTCTTCAAAAACAAAGTTAACTCTATTAGATCTCAGCTCCATAGCCTTCCTGATCTTCGGCTGGCATCTACCCTGGGACATCATGGGTCCCTGAGCTGCTTTGACGATGTTGCTCAGAGTGAAGTGGAGGCTATCCTGAAGAAAATGAAGCCTTCATCTTGTGCCCTGGATCCCTTCCCCTCATCACTCATAAAATCTAATCATGCTGCAATAAGCCCACTAATCACACAAATAATAAATCACTGAAATCTGGTCATGTGCCATTGCCTCTTAAAACAGCTATCATTAAACCTCTTCTAAAGTAATCTACCTTGGATCCAGATATTCTTTCCAATTACCGTCCAATCTCTCACCTCCCTTTCCTGTCAAAAGTGCTGGAAAAGGCTGTTGCTGCTCAGCTGCAGCTCCACCTACAACAACATTCTCTGTACAAGAAATTTCAGTCTGGGTTCCGTTCTGCTCACAGTACTGAGACCGCTTTGCTGAGAGTTACTAATGATGTCCTCATGGCAGCTGATACTGGTCCTACTTCTCTCCTTGTCCTCCTTGACCTAACTGCAGCCTTTGACACTGTGGACCATAATATCCTCCTACACCGTCTTCATGTGGAGGTCGGTCTCTGTGACTCTGTTCTGGACTGGTTTAAATCCTCTCCAATCGGCTGGAATGTGTTAGCCTTGGCAAGGCCAAGTCCCAGGCTGTCTCAGTCTCCTGTGGTGTCCCACAAGGGTCAGTCCTGGGGCCCTGTTATTTTCCCTCTACATGCTGCCTTTGGGTCAAATCATTAATCGGCACAATATCTCCTTCCACTGCTATGCCGACGATATACAACTTTACATTAGAACTGAAGCATTTTCATCACCATTTTCACTCACTGCCTTCACCATTTGCCTGGAGGAGATGAGGACGTGGATGAATCAGAACTTTCTTCAGTTAAACTGCTCCAAAACTGAGGCCATGTTGATCGGAACACCTCAACAGGTCCAATCTTCAACCTTGACAACAATCTTCTTTTCTGGACAAGACATCCCCCTGTTACAAATCTTGGAGTTAGAATGGATTCTCATCTTACATTTGAAAATCATATTAAGCATCTATTTAAAACCTGTTTCTTTCATCTTCGCAATATCACCAAAATTCGTCCATCTCTCTCTTTCTCTGATGCCGAGACTCTCGTCCATGCCTTTGTCTCTTCCAGGCAACTCTCTGTTCATTGGAATCCATAAAAAACATCTCCAGAAGGTCCAATACATTCAAAACAGCGCAGCCAGGATTCTATTGAGGGCCCGTAAATCTGCCCATATTACACCTATTCTGCATGACCTTCATTGGCTTCCTGTCACCTTCAGAATTCAGTACAAAATTGCTCTCATTACACATCAATGTTTAAACGGAACTTCACCGGATTATCTGAAGGACCTTCTCATTCCACATTCATCCACCAGATCTCTGCGATCACAAGACAGCAACTTCCTCCACCTTCCTTGCTCCAGATTAAGGACCATGGGAGATCGGGCATTCGCTGGGCTGCCCCCCGTCTCTGGAACTCTCTCCCGGATTGTTTGAGAGCTACGCAACCAGTGGTTCACTTCCAAAGAGGCTTAAAGACTTTTTTATTTAAGCAAGCCTATTCTGCCTCCACATGATTTTTATAATGTTGATTTTATCTATGATTTTAGTTGCACTGTGTAGCACTTTGAGATTTTTTCTAATGAAAGTGCGGTACAAATTAAATTGATTATTATGAATTGAACACGCAGTAGAAATTTGAACATAGTATTGTCAATATATTAAAATATTTAATCAGTTTAACCACACTAATGCTGTGACTAATCACTGTGCTTAACTTTGTAAGCTTGAAATGTAAAAATGCACATTTTCATAAATGTTTAAGGACATGTTTTATTGTCTAAAACCAATCTCACATTTCCAGGTTTTCATACTCAGGACGGTTTAGAGGCAGTTGTTTTGTTTAAAAAACAGCTGCTTAGAAATATTAACTACAAACTGGTTGTGCTTCTGTGGGAGGATAATTTGTCATTACAATAAGCTAACTACATACCAGCTTGGTTTTATCCAAACATGCGCCATCGGTATGACTTTCTTCGCTCATCTTTTCACTTGCGTTTGTGGCTCTGCATTGCTGGCCACAGCAGACCATGTGACAAGCTGCTTTGAACCAAGTAACCCTCTGCAGGGAGAGGCTTCTAGGGAATGCGACTAACCTGCATTGTGTAACGTTAATGTGTTAAGCTTATTATTTTAGAATAATAAGTGTCAATGCTTTAACATTAACAGCCTTACAGAAAACATACTTTATGACCCACAAACTTCTGAAGGAACTCTGCATTCACTGGTCACTTTATTAGGTGCACCACTTTAGTTTGACCTCCTTTTGCCTTCAGAACAGCATCAGTTGACTCAAAGGCCTTCTGTCACACTGAGGTCAGACGACTGGACAGGTCATTCTCTGTGAACTTGAAACATGGTTCTGAGTAAAATCCCATCTGATCAGCAGTTTCTTGCACCAACAATCATGACTAGGTTCACTTAATCACTTAATTCCCTTTTTCTTTCTCACTTTGATGTTCACCTTAGACTTCAGTGATGTGTCTACAACACGTCTGGATGCTTAATGCATTGAACTGCTGCCATCGGATCTGCTGGTTTGCGGTTTGTGTTGACAAGCAATTAAACACAGGGCTGTTTCTCGAAAGTAGGATTCAGAAATTCAGGAAAAGGGATAAAACCGGGCTTGGCATAGCACCACCAGATCATCCTGTCTTTATCCGTTTCAGACCAAACCAGGTTCAGGGGGTGCAGCTATGTTGAGCCAGGCTTAAGTAATCCAGGTGAATGTGCGTCAATAGATTTCTTCAGTAGACCATGAGAAACTGATGCTACAATAGCAAATTATAGCAGATCGATGGAATGTGTAATTAGCCCAAAATATGCACTTTCAAAAAAACGTCATAATCATACCTGTCATTTGCTCAAATAAAAAGCTTTAACCCAAGAAATGAACAGTAGAAGTCAATATAACATGTTAAACTGACATTATCTTTCTAATATTTATACAGAACAAACATAACAGGTCAAAACAGGTCAAGATTAAATATAAGAATATTTTGCAGTATCTGGGAAGTATTAAAAACAATTAATGGTGTGCTGTGGTGCCGCAGGGGTTAAGCACAACCCACATATGGAGGCCTTAGTCCTCGACGCAGCTGTCGCAGGTTCGATTCCTGGCCTTTGCGACCTTTGCTTCATGTCTTCCCCCTTCTCTCATTACCCACTTTCCTGTCAATTAGCTATCAAATAAAGGCCACTAGAGCCAAAAAAAACAAAACAACAATTAATAGTTTGTATTGGTGGACATGTTTTTTTTTGTTTAAAAGCATAAAATACTATTTACTGTTTAGCATGTTCCAGCTCTGTTATCAAGTACACTGATATGCGCAGAGTGACAAGACAGTCCTTGTTTCCACAGGGACAGTGGCCAGCCCGATGTTTTCTTCACTCTCAGCTACCAAAGCGAAGACGGCCCCACCAGCGTCCGTGTCCAGCTGAACAACCTGCTCTTCAGCCTCCATGGCAGCCAAAAAACTTTTCCTTCACTGTTCGCTCTGCTTGCCTTCTACACCAGCTCCCCCTGTAGGCTGACTGAGCCCTACCGCAGGCAGCGGCCTGAGCGCCTAAAACAGATGTGCAGGAGAGCTCTCGTACGAACCTACGGTGCCGAAAGTATATGCACCTCACCTGGACTCAGCCCTGATGTTAAGGCTTATGTCAGTGCGTACCCGTACTGTACATAGACAAACCTGTGGGGCAGTGTCTTTTACTGTATTTAGATGTCATTTATTAAGTTAAAAACTGTGTATTTGTTGTTTTTGTATTTTGCTGGAGACAATTTGGTACCACATGTAATGAGAAAACAGATTGAAAGTGTTTTATTCATGACTTGCAACATTATTGTATGCTTGACAGTTCAATCAGCTCCATTTAATCTGACTGTTCTTGTTAGTAAAATCATTTCAGACATTTTTTACCTTTAATATGACATCTATCCTGTGCTTCACTAGAAGCCTTTGGCTAAGTCCAAACCTGAGTCTGATTTACCCCTCAGAAGTCAACAAATTTGGAGTTTTGTTTTCACAGCAGAACTTCACAGGTTAAAGGTCATATGGTGGAGAAGGTTGTCAAATTGTTTATCTTGTTCTCATCTTTTTTGCATCATAAAATCCAGACATTTTAACAAGGATGTGAATCTTTAGCTGTACTCTTTTAAAATCCTGAGGCAAATGAGTAAACTTTTAATACAAGATGTTTTTAGATAGGATGTTGCCTAAAAACATCTTCAGGCAACATGTTGCAAAACTGTACCTCATGCTATTATGTGGAGAAACTGAGAAATGCCATTGCTGCAAGTGTCTTTATAGTTAATAACATTTGATCTGTGAACAACAACATCATCTGTGGTATGCTTAGTATTTTATTTCAGGAAAACAAGAACATAATTTTCAAAGCATTTTATGGTGAATTACATAATTGCCATGAGTAAGCGACATGTTACAAATTAAGAAATTAATATCTTTTCTGTCTCATGCAGCGTTTCCATTCCGTCTCATACAGAATGGACAGAAAAGTGCTTCTGTCCATTTTTGTGGACATGAATGCCTCATTTGAATTAAGGCATTTGCAAAAACATTACTTTGTTTTTTGGCAGTTTTATTTTTCTGTTTAGATTTGTTTATTTTTCAGTGTTGAATTTTGTTCCATTCTGCATTTGTTTTGTATGTTATCTTATGCACAAATCAAACAGTTATGCACTGAACCCAAAGATTGCACTTTGGTTGTTCTAGTTGGAGACATTAGATTTAGTTTTACTAATGTGTGCAATTTTAAAACTAATTCAAAACTTGAATTAATTTGTCTTGTTCTTGTGTCTGTAAAAATGCATATATTGGTACAAATCCAGCTATCTATCGCACAATCTTTTCTAAAGGCTTTTCCATTTTTTTTGACAAATGAAGCTTTGGCTAATTTCCTATATCATTGCAACCATATTTATTTTAGGTCATGCTAATTATAATTTCATGTTAATATGAAGCCTAGGCGTAAATTCAAACTGGAAGACTCTATTCATCTCACCTGCCCAACCAAAGATGTCATCATGTGCCTTGATTCCAACCTGTCGGTGATGGTCTCCTCCTTCAATCATCAAGCGTCACTCCTTTGATAAGGTCCAGCTGTTCATCGGTTTCTGCTCTTTGGCTGAGCTTCAAGCAAGCTGCTGCTCAACGTCATGGCCTTACGATTTCGTGTGTTCTCAATCTTTCGTGGAATTACCAGACTTTTTCTCCTTTTTACCCAGGCTTGAAAAAGCTCCCGTTGTGCAGTTGCCACAGATTTCTGCTCTTACCAGGTCAATCTCACTCAGATCCGGGATAATCTATCCCTAATTGCTCTCGTTGCACCTTCGCATCTTGGGATCCCCGCTAGTTGTCTTCAGCAGCATGTGAATCTTCAACCTCGGCAGGACTCTCCTTCCTCCAATCCAGTTTCAGATTTCCCATCGTAGCCTTTCAGCCTAAACGTGAAGATATCCCCCCTTTCAGCACTTTTCAACAGTTCTTCTTATCACTGATGTTCAGTATTAAGTGTACAAATATATATGAAGTATACTTGTACCAATTTTGAAATTATAACTTTAAACATACTTAAATATAATTGTACCAAAATACACTTTTAAGAAATATATTAAATAAAAGTATACTTTAAGTGAACAAAATATGTATTTGCCCAAGTCTAAATATCTAAATATACACTTTCTCAATTGTATATTTAAAAGATATTTAAAATATCTGTCAAAGATATTTTGTGTATATTTTAAAATATATGCTGAAAATAGAATTTTTTTAAATTCACTTAACGCTTACTTTAAATTATTAATTTCAGTATGTTTTAAATTACATCGCAGTGTATACTTTAGGCTAATAAAGTATGCCTTTTTAGGTGACTTAATAATCTTTTATTATTTTTGTTAAAACGGCAAAGAATTAAAAAAATAATAATAATCCTAATAGTGGAACTTGTTTTAATGTTGTTTAACAAATAATGTAGTCATGCCTTAACATGTCAAACATTGACAGTTTAGTGACAGAGGTTCTACAACAAAAACAATACTTGTCCTTAACACTAAATTTAGCAGGTATCTTCAGTTTTACATCTCTCCGAATATGATCTGTTGTTTTCAGTTTTTTAACTAAAACACGGAAGCTGTCTTTATCCAATCCATTTCCAGATGTATGATGTAAGATCTGTTAGTGAACGGCATCAGCTCACACACCCGATCAGATGGTGGCGGTATTGCACACTTTCAGTTTTATTTTTAAAAGCTCCATAAAAAGAAAATAAGAAGAAGCCATGAGCCAGAGAAGATAACAGATGCTGTTCAAATTCGCCATTCTTAGTCACAGAATATTGCCTTAAAATTAGAGAGGGCCTTGATAAGAGTAGTTCTGGTAAATTCAAGCTTGTGACGTCCTAGTCCGAGTTAGACGACAACACATCTGGACAACAACCGATGGAAATTAAATGTGGGTCACGAAAGGAACCGAAGGGACGAAGACTGCTAACGTGTTGCTAGCTGGTGGTAAGTTTGCTTCAAAGGGTGCGTTCACACTGCAGCCTGAAATGACCCAATTCCGATGTTTTGGCAATTCCGATTTGCCAGTAAATCCGACCTGTATGTGTTCTGCAGTGTGAACGGGCAAACGACCTGAAAGTGTCCCGCATGCGCACTAAAGGACGCAATAGCGTCAGCGTTCTCAGTGTTCTGTCAACTGCCATAAAAAGAAGAAGTGCGGTATCTGATGGCCATAAATCTCCCATCAGATACCGTTCCCCCACTGTAAAACAGGGTGAACAGTATCTGATGGGTGATTTATGGCCATCAGATACCGTTCCCCCCTTTACCACAGGGGGAACAGTGTCTGATGGGTAATATTGAGCATTAAAATGCATTGCCGTTTTTAATTCATATAGCACTATCTATCTATCTATCTATCTATCTATCTATCTATCTATCTATCTATCTATTATAATTATAATATATATAACATATATATTATTATTATAATTATAATATATATATAACATATATTATGTATTATAATTATAATATATGTATAAAATATATATTATTTATTATAATCATAATATGTATAACATATATATTTATTATAATTATTAGTATTATTACTATTAGTTTCCCGCAAAAACGTGAAGTGTGACAACTTTGCCGAAACATGTTGTTTGAGCTTTCACGGTGTCCGTAGTTCCCCAGATAAGCGCGCCGAACAAGCGTGTGCTTGCTACGCGCGTGCTNTGTTGTGCCTCGTGATTTTTTCAATTAAAACAGTGTACCTTGGCTCAGAAAAGGTTGAAAAACACTGAATTAAACATTGTTAACAGTGGGGTAATTTGAAGTGAAGATAAACATACCAATCCTCCTATGTCCAGGAATCTTGGGAAGTTCAAAAAGATACTAGATGACTTCACTGGGTTGTAAATCATCTTCTGGTGATTGTTGAAGGTCTGTTCTATCTTCCTCATAACAGTTCCTTCATCAGCTGTGTGCTTCATCAGCGTAGTGGCCTCAGAACACAAGCTGTCTGTTATAAGACAGTCTTCTATAAAACTGTGCATCAGTTGTTGGTTCCTCTAAAAAATTGATACGAATGTGACACACTGTCCTGGAATTTAATAAAATGAGGTTTGGGAACTCTTCAAGGATTTGTGTGACAAAATGTGTACAACTATAAATACACACATCTGTTTGGATTTGTGTCTTTCTGGGGCCCTTCTTTCGTCCATTAGAAGCTTCCCTTTGGACAAACTTCAGTCTCCAAGCCAGATACCCACTCCCATCTTCTGCATTGTAATAATGCTCCTAAAAGTAGATGAATGATAAATGTTTTTAAAGCTGTGAAAGCAAAGACAACTGTGGATGCTAGTAGCTGTGATTTACAGATTTTAGTTCACGTTGTTTGAATTACATGAATAAAATCTCTTCATGATGTTTATTCTCCAAGCTGCAGTATTTCAACACTGGAACAATGAACTACAAAGGTTTAAAAATAGGAAATTAAGAAACAAGTGGTATAAATGCAGGGCATGCAGTTCTACTCAAACCATAGCCAAGAAGTTGGATTTATGTTTTGAACTTACATAGCTAAACCTGCTTCTAGGATCAGTCAGTTAAGGGAACAAGGTAATAACACCCTTTCCATAGTCCTCTTTGACACGTCTGGAAGGACTTGTCCTATACAGACAGAAAAAACTATGAGCTTTGTGAAAGGCGTAAAGAACACCTTCAAAAAAGGTAAATATAAAAGGTGCATATAAAAATTATTAAGTTTAGCATACTGTCATACAGTGAGGAAAATAAGTATTTGAACACCCTGCAATTTCTCCCACTTAGAAATCATGAAGGGGTCTGAAATTTTCATTTTAGGGGCATGTTCACTGTGACAGACATAATCTAAATAAAAATCTGGAAATCACAATGTATGATTTTAAATAATTTATTAAAAATTATACATTGGGTCAGAATTATTGTGATTGCTACCAATCTAATAATTGCTCCAACAGTTGTACCAATCACAATAATTCTGCATAAATCCACCTGCATAAAGATTCATGTCCACCTCACACAATCGGTAAGACTCCAACCACTAACATGGCTAAGACCAAAGAGCTGTCCAAAGACACCAGAGACTAAATTACAGACCATCACCAGGCTGGACAGGGCTACGAGGCAATTGGCAAGCAGGTTGGTGAAAAGATCAGCTGTTGGAGCAATTATTAGAAAATGGAAGAAGCTAAACATGAGTGTCAATCTCCTCCGGACTGGGAGAGTCCAAGGGACATGCAAGATTTCACCTCGTGACGTATCAATGATCCTAAGAAAAGGAAGGAGGCTGTTCTCCAAAATCTCACAATACATGGTCCCGGTCATCCTCTCCTTAATACAGTGCAGTTGTCCTGTCCCATGTGCAGAAAAATACCCCCAAAGCATGATGCTTCCACCCCCAAGATTCACAGTAGGGATGGTGTTTTTGGGATGGTACTCATCATTCTTACGGTAATCTTTTGTATGCTGCTATACTTTTGGTATTCCATTAGAAACTAACATTAAATGGATGCATCCAAACATCTAAATTGATGGTGGACTTTTAGGATACAAATGAGTTAAACTTTTTCCACATTTTGGCAAGTTACAACATTGTATTGTGTGTTTTTTAAAAATAAAACAAAAAGTAGGGCACTGAAAAAATAGAATGGAGCTCCAATTTTAAAAAAGTAGTTAATTTGTCACATATAATCCAATTAGGTTTGTCATACTTAACATGATAATGTGATATATTTATTTGGATAGCCTTAATTTGATTACTAGTAACAAATTAACTACTTTTTAAAAGTGGGATCACCTTTTTTAGAGTGCATAAATGTGAAGTGAAAATGACATAGTACATTTTAAAGTATTCCTAGGAACAAAATCATAATTAAAATGTACCCCTTCTCTTACCTGTTGACCGGTAGAGATAGGCACCAGCACCCCTGGTGACCCCATTAGGGATAAGCATGTAAGATAATAGAAAAAAAAAAAATCCATAGCTGAAAGACAAAAGAAGTCTAGTTTTTTACAAGTCATGTAGAGGTCACAGCTAGAAGAATGGAAGAAGATGCTCTGGTGAGATGAGGATAAAACTAAACTTTTAGCTAGGTCTGCACATCACTCTGAACATAGCATCTCCTGTTCTTATCATTTAGTGTGGGTAGGGAAGCTGGTCAAAGTATATAGATGTAGTGCTCAGGACAGAGGACCCAAAGTTTCAGCCAGACACAATAGAAAATCAAATGATTTATTGAGAAAAAGAGTATGCGAGGGTAGACCACCAGCAGTCGGGCCGGGAACCACTGAGGACAGAGAAACAGGTTAGTGGCTTGTACTCTTGGTGTCCAAAGCTCAATAAGGAAAGCCACTAACTTTCTCAAAATGCTGTGGGAAACTGAGACACTCTTGGTTCCCCAACAAGGCTGCGGTGAGAAGGCAGGGGGGAGACGTCATCTTTAGGGGTGTTGGTTGTTAAGAACAGAACACCTCAGCAAGATGGTGGAGATTGATCCAGAGCATCAACACTGGTAGCACAATGGTTAGGTAGCAGGTCATAAACCCAGGAGAAATCAGAACTTGGAGGTCAAGAGGCCACGGCAGGGGATGAACCAAGGAGGCAGAGGAAGGTAAACTTATCTGAGGGTCAGATGAGAATCCGGAGTCAGGGCACAGAAACAGGTCAGGCACGTGGAGGCAATCTAATCCAGGAGGCAGAAGTTGAGAGGCAGAAACAGGGTCGTGTCAAGAAAACAGAAGCCAGTGGAGTATCTGATGTGAGCCAGGCAAGAAATCCAAGAGACAAAAACGTGGTCATGATGGTGGTCAGACAAAGGAGGAAATGTTGGATATCTACTCACAATAAAGTTTTTCAAAAACCTGAGAGCAGGCAGACGGTGGATGACATGAGCCTGATTGTGCTGCAGCGCAGCAGCATGCAAGTGGACCTGATTAACTTGATTGCAGAGGTGAGAGCTGAAGAAGAAAACGGAGCAGGCAGACGGGCAGAATCATAATAACAGAGGGAATTAAATATGGGACAATCCTTTGAATGCCCCTCTGTACAAAGTATTGACCCAGGGGAGCTGAGTATGAATGCATGCCACACTTTCAGAATTATAAATGTAAGAAGAAAAAAAAATCAAGAATCATGCACAATTTTAATTTCACTTCACTAGTATACTCTACCTCTTCTCTAAAACTGGTCCATGCTTTTGAATCCAGCACACTTCTCATTGGGATTCCTAGCAAGAGGGTTCCTGCAGAGACTTCAGTACTTCCAAAACTGCAGCTGCTATCATGCAACATATGCAAACATGAACATATTACTTCCATCCTCCACTCTCTCCATTGACTTTCCATTTCCACTAGGATTTAATTCAAGATTTCCCTCCTCAAACATCAATTCATCTCTGGAAATGCCCCAACCTATATCAAAAAACTACTTAGTCTACTTAGTCTACAAAACACAACTTGCTCACTCCACTGCACCCACTCAAACCTTCTCCAGATCCCCAAAACCTGAGGACCACGTTGCTCCATGTCTATGGAACACCCTCCCTGACACACTGAGGGTGCCACAATCCACTGACTGCTTTAAAAAAAAAAGACATTTCTATTTGGCAAAATATTTGGATCATTTTCTTAGATATTGGTTTTAATCTCTTATTTATGTAATTAATTATTTTTATCCATTAGAATTGCATGTTTTGCTTTTGTTTCCTGCCCTTTGTTTCCTGCCAGGGTGTTTGAGATCTAAAGATATAAAGGGCATTATAAATAAAATCTATTATTATTATTATTATTATTATTGTTGTTATTATTATTACTACATTGTATTGGACTATCTTATAAAATTTCAACAAAATACATTTTTGTGGCTGTATTGTGAAAAAAATATGAAACTCAAATTTGTGTGAATACTTTTGCAGGGCTCTATTAATCCCACAAATGAAAGATCTTGAGCTGCATGTTATTGCATTGTGCTCTCTGTCACTTTTGTATTATTTACAGACTTTTGCTGTCAAAGTCAGCTTAAAGGAATGATCAGAAAATGGGTGTAAAACCAGCTTCCAAAGTCCATAGAAAAACTTATTCTTAAAGCTTGGAAAAAGTTGCTATAGATGAAAGCAATTTTGAAAGATTGAAAAAATAGTAACAGAGTTTGTCATATAAAAGTTTTATATGGTAATGTTATGATATCCATTTTTTTCAGGAGATACAACATCACCTTCTTGAATGCCTATTATCAGCCTGAAGGCACAGATGACCATCCGTTCATCTGCTCGACAGAGAGGGAAAACGGGATGCTTCGCTGTTCTGACGTGCCTCGTCGTCGTGTGGGTCGGTCCTACTGCTCACTGGGGGCTGAGGAAGCCCACTCAGAGACAGGACTGACAGTGGACGGACCAGTGTCATGTGTGAACTGGTACCAATACTACAACCAGTGCCGGGCAGGGGAAATAAACCCCCACAAAGGAGCTATTAACTTTGATAATATCGGATATGCATGGATTGCTATATTTCAGGTAAAATCTATGCAGAATCTATCTGCAGAAATTGAATTGAATTGAATTTAATAAAGCTGCACTATGTAACTTTTATAGACAAATATTTTTTGGATATTTGTTGAAACTGTCACTATGACAGTAAGACAGACAGTCTGAGAAAAAAATGTAGCTTCTCTGCCATCTCCCAGTGTTCCAAGTGCCGTCTAGAAATAACTCATTTGAGCCAGGAGGAGGATCTTAGTGCTGTCAATCACTCTCAGTATTGCGCTGCTCACAACCCCATCTCCTTTCCCCCCTTCAACTCTGCTAGCTGCACCTAAAAGAGACTGTATGAATGTTCAGGCTAGTTAGCATGACCACTGATGAAAACAAATAAACGGTTTTCCTGTAGGTTGTTTCTCCACCATTAGCACATTGAGCAGCATGTTGATTGACAGCACTAAGACCCTTAGCCTTGTTTTGCTTGGTACAAGTTGGAGTGGTGCATTTCTTCAGACTCTCATGGAAATGGTGGAGGAATTCAAACTTTGTGTAAGAGACACATACATAATGTGTCTCTTACTGTCAGGACATGATGACAGTTTTCACAGATATGTAAAAAAAAAAATTCTTTATATGCTTTAACTTAAACTGGTTACTTTTGACTTCAGGTAATTACCCTGGAGGGTTGGGTGGACATAATGTACTACGTAATGGATGCACACTCCTTCTATAACTTCATCTACTTCATTTTTCTCATCATTGTAAGTACTAAGAAAACCACAAACACATTGACAATGCTAAAATTGTCCAAAATGGTTGTTTTTGGACAACCAATTTGCCACACAGTAAAAATACCAGTGTTAAAATCCTAGGTGTAGTGTTAAATAAAAAGTGTTTGTGTTGTTTTAACATCACACTGTCAGTGTAGCTTCTGACATATTTGGATTTTAAATTCAAGTGTTAATTGGATTGTTAATTGTTGCTTAAGCCATGCCTTTGTGTAATGGATGCAGAGTGCATTCTACTGTGTGTGTATTTAAAAAAACCAACATTGCAAATTACACTCTAAAAAGTGTTTTTGGCAGTCATCTATCTAATGGACTTTTTTTTTTTTTTTTACATTAATCTAACTTAATTCATTTGGTTTTTTTTGATGACAACTTGCTTTTTTGTGTTCAATTAACTTAAAATTTACAAATCTAAATTAACTTAAAGGATCTTTTTACTTTGACTTTACTTGAAACAATTGAGTTCAATGCTGGATATGCCTGACCAGCTCAATTCATTAAGTTTATCCATCTCATTTTTCCTAATAAATAATTGAAATCTTTTACTTAATTCTACAGAAAGTCAACTCAAATGTTTAAGTTGTTCCAAACTAAAAAAAAACCCTAAAATATCCAAAATGACATTATCACTTAAAATACAGCTTGCATTTAAATTATTTTAAATGTATGCTTTAACATATTTTAGTTTTTCAAAGATCTTGTACTCTGAAAAATGAATAGAGTAGAACCAACTTAATTTAATTGCTTCAGTTGGTAACAAGTAAATTAATTAAATTTATTCAACAACAGGCTAAGGCTCAGCTACTGGTAGCAACAGGATCCAACAGTGGACCGAGTAACCATACATCCAGACTGGACAACAGCCAGATATGACCAGGACCCGACAAAGACACAGAAACACATGCAACATTAAATACACAGAGGGTAATCAGGGGCAGAGACACAGGAAAACTCAAATCATGACACTTTCATTACCCACTTTCCTGTCTGAGCCAAAAAAAAAAAAACCTGGTAAAAAAAGAAATAATTTATTAATTTCCTTTTTTATTTGAAGTAAACAAAATGAATTGAGTAAAGACTGACTTAAAAGGATCCAGGATTAGATTTTTTTATTACCTAAAAAAAATGCTGTATGTGATATGTCAAAACTCATAATTACTTCAAAAATATACATCCTTTGTTATATTTTTCACCCATGGAGGTCACAATTTTTTCAACGCAGGAAAGCTAACTTTACCCAAGTAGTTGTTTATCATATTGCGTTTGATTGGTGTAATTTCAGATAATGCCACACTGTCACTATAGGTTGTGATTTAAAAAATAAATAAATAAAAATTTATGTGAATCTGGGTAATTTCCCACATGAAAAAAAGGGAGAGCGCAGTGCAAGAGCCGAGTGGAACACAATCTGGACGCTGGACATTTCTCCAGAACACTTTCAGTCATTTATACCAGCAGAAGGCTCTAACAGGTGATTGTTATCTATATGTTGCACCCTTAAAAAGAACTTAGAAGAAACTCAAATTAGCTTTTGTGCAACTTTATTAAACAAAATCCACGGTTCGAGCATACAGCGTGTGTAGTTTTCTCATCCCTTTTGTAATAATCTCAGGTCGTGAACTTTCAACTCCCATCATGCATTGCGACATTCTTAAAGGGGTATTATCATGACAGAAATTTATGAAATAAAAAAATAAAACAGTTGGAGCACATATTTAGCCATCAACCAACTGAATTGTTCCAACTAAACACTAAATCAAATAAATGCTTGCCCAATATGATCAATATACCTATTAAGCAACATCACGTTCGCAACATGTTTTCAGGGCTCTACATATACAAGCTAAACATAAATGCCGTGCTGCCGCTGAGACGTTCAGCAGGCAGAGCTGAACGTTCTTTGAGATGCTAACAGAAGCTATATACTATACAATACTGCCTGCGGTACTGACATCACCGATCCGACCGGACCCTAAACAGCACAGTTGTTGCCGAACCGGACACAGCGCTACAGATACTGGGACAAAGTCAAAGACAAGCAGTGCTAATGGAGCTTTTAATACTGGAAATGCTAATGGAGCTAGAACACCGCACTGAATGTGAAACCACTACCAACACCAGACAAAGTTCGGACCATAAGAACCAGACACAGATCACTTATGTAGAAGTACTTACCAGATCACACAGTCCGACCAGAGGTACGTGTCATTCATTGTTTCATTTATGTAGCTGAAGGCAGCAGCAGCTAACACCAGTTCCTACAGCCAACTCTGTCCTGGGTCATTCTCTGAATTTGGTGCATTTTGTGTCTCACAGGTTTATCTAAAAGATTTTCATATTATGCAAACCACAGTTTTTGAGAAAATCAAAAAATGGAAATATCCATGTGTCTTGGTAATATAGCATGCAAATATATTTTAAAAATTATGTTTTGAAAAATGTTATGGGTTGTTGAGGCATAGAGGTTAGCCAAATGAGCATGTCCCCACTGACCAATGTTAATTTTTCATTGAATATAAAACAAAAATAGTCAGTAACTGCAAGTTATTTCTACCATTATAAACATTTTGGTATACTTGAATCTAAATAAAAGACATATGAGGAAAAATATATTAATTATTTATTAAATAGCACTTTTTAATCATGTCCCTCTAGTTTTGTTCAACCCCGTAACGGCATACCAATCCCTCCTTTTTATAATGGTTCAGTCCAATTTCCTCAGCAACCTGGAAGTGACATCGTATAAGTCTTCCCGCTCACACTGAAAATATAGGTAAATGTTAATATAGTTTCTTATCTATATTTGACTATTTTTATCCATAGATCATTATTGTCAAGCTCAAGCTTTCAACACTGTTACGGACGTAAATGACATTTATTATTATTTGGGAAAAAGTAAAGAATTGTCTTTGAAAAATATATTAATTTCTTGTTTTCATCATATCATATGTTGCTCTATACCCCAGCTAATGTGGACTTATGGCAACTTTTAGCAAAAATCTTGTACCCCTAACAAAAACAGTGGTTTTGTTACGGGGTTGAAGGTTGGACTGTTCTTAAGCCAGCCGGTGTGTTCAGCCCCGTTACAGTGAGTTCAACCTTGTTACTTGATACATTGTTATGATTTTTTTTAATAATAACAGTAAATATTAGACTAATATTTGTTGCATTCTATACAACGTTTAAAGAATGAAACATAAAAAAGCCTGATTTAATGTTTATTTGAAAGTGTATTTTCATCATTTATGAAAAGCGCTTTTACATCAAGTTGCCATATTCTACTTATCAGTCTAATTATTATTATTCAGAATCAAATAAAATATACTAAGTTACATTTAGTTATTTTAATCAAGGAACAGGTGAATAATGTTAATAAAATAAATTTAAAATATGCTAGTTTTAAAACTTAGCAAAATGTCTTGATTGAAATAGCCTAATTATAGTTTTCACATTAATAACTTATTCTGCCCTATTGACCTTTATGTTACCTGTAGCTACAGCAGATTGTTTGCTAAGATCTTCTGATCTGCCCTTTGTCTGTGTGGGAAACAATC